ATTTCTGGTTCCATAGTTATGTGTATCTTCAATTGTGCGAAAAAATGTATTAAAGGTAATAGGAAGCTGTTTATTATGAAATTGAAAGAGTAATATTGCCATATGCTTTTCATAGAGATCAAATATATTTAATGTATTAGTTTGTAAAAATAGTGGTTTTGAAGGATGATGAAAATGAACTTTGCATATAATTCGAAGTGCTTTCTTTTGGAGAATGTGAAGCCTATTTAATTTTGTTGGATTAAAGGGGCCCCATACGACTATTGCGTATGTTAAGTCGGGGAGAATTATGGATTTATATATTTGTAACATTATTGAATAGGGTAACAAATATTTCAATTTATTCAAGATTCCTATTACCTTTGAGACTTTATTTGCGATGGCATCAATATGGTTATGAAATGATAGAAATTCATCAAGATTAACTCCTAGAAATTTTATATGAGTTACTCTTTCGAGTACAGAATTATTAATTGATAATTGTACATTAGTAAACTGAAATGTACTATTGCGGCCTCTAAATATGATATATTTTGTTTTTTTGGTGTTGACTGTCAGCTTATTTGCTCTAAACCATGCTGACAGGCAGTGTAATTCATAGTTCATCATATCACATGCATATATAGGGTCATTATGTTTTAGAAACATATTGGTATCATCCGAAAAGATGATGAGTTCTATATCTTTGCACACCGAAAAAATGTCATTAATAAATAATAGGAACAAAAGAGAATCAGTTCTCTTTTTACGGATTCCCCAGATTTTATAGCAACATATTGTGTTCTGTGGGCTAAGTAACTTTTGTACCAATCTAATACAACACCCCGTATGCCATAATATCTTATTTTGTCAATAAGTAATTTGTGATCAATCGTATCGAATGCTTTTGATAAGTTTAAAAATACACCTATAATAAATGATTTGTTTTCAATAGCTGACGTTATTTTTTCTATGGTTTGTAATAGGGCGTGAATTGTAGAGTGTTGTTGCCGAAAACCATATTGAGAACTGTTTATTATGTGATATTTGTTAAGAAAGCAAATAGTCTGATCACAGACCACTCTTTCGAATATTTTTGAAAGACAGGGTAAGATTGATATGGGTCGAAAATTATCAATGTTATGTTTATCGCCACTTTTGAATACGGGTATAGTTTTCGCAATTTTTAATTCATCAGGGAAACAACCGGTTGTAAGTGAAACGTTTATCATGTGTGTAATAGGCTTAGTAAAGTAAATATAATTATGTTTAATGTAATTAGCGCTTGTGCTTTATTTGTCCCAAGTTTATTAATATATATAATTATTTCTTCTTCGATTGTAGGCCTAAAAAACATTGAATTAAGATAGTTACCCGTCAAATATGACGTTGGATTAGGCTTATTTTTCTGATTATCTTGTTCTAGATTATCAGCTAATTTTTTCCCAACGTTAACAAAAAAAGTATTAAATGCTTCAGATTTTGCATTTGGGTTTGTGTATGTCTTTGATTTATCAATGACGTCAGTCGTTATGTTAGGTTTTTTTGCTTCTACCAAGAAGTTGATAAATGGCCTTCCATGTTTCTTTTCAGATTATTTTTATTTTTTTGAATTTATTATTAAAATATTCTTTTTTTCTTTTTCTAATTATATTAGTAAGTACGTTTCTATATCTGGTGTATTTAATTTTATTTTTATTCGATGATTTTTTTTAGATATTTACTATATAACTTGTTTTTAGTCTGGATTGCCTTGGCAATCGATTCGGTCATCCAAGGAGATTGTAATTTATTGACTCTTAAGTTTCACTTTTTTTAGGGGAAAGCATTGATTAATCAATGTTTGTAACGGTTAACAGCTGATCAAGATTATCTCCTGATAGGAAAACAGTCGTATCATCAGCAAAAGACACAGTTTTAAGTACCTGTACATTACTAACCACATGAATATTGTTAACATAAATTAGAAACAGCAATAAGCCTATAACTGACCCTTGATGGTACGCCACATGTTATGCTTTGATTTGATTTGATTCATAATTATGAGTTCACAGTGAAATTATTTCCTAGATCTTATTTAACTGGAGAACCAATGTAAAGCAATACCTCTGAATTCATAATGATGAAACTTCTTAAGCAAAATATCATGATCAATAACATCAAAGGCCTTACAAAGATCCATAAACACAATGACTAAGAATTTATCAAATGCCGTCGTAATGTTGGAGATAAGATTCATAATGGCATCAGATATTGAATGGTTTACACGAAACCCAAATTGATGGTCGTTGAGGATAGTGTATTTATCTAAGAATAAGCATATTTTGGAATACATAATTTGTTCAAGAATTTTGGAAAAGATTGGTAAGATAGATAAGGGTCGATAATCTATAAAAGGATCACGTGTACCTCTTTCAAAAATAACAAAACAAAGGCAATTTTCAGATTATCTGGTACGATACCTTTTACAAACGACTGATTAACAAAAAAGTCGGTGGTTTTAAAATGGATAATGCTGAGCCGTTGACCACTTTTGACGTTATGTTATCAAAACCTGAACATTTGTTGGGAGCTAGTTTTCGTATAACATCATGAACATAAGATCTTTCGATTATGAACATCTTGTTCTACAACAGATGTTAAAAAGAAAGAGTGACAATGGTTGCCAGTCAAGTAGTCAGATGGCGCAATTTGAACAGTACGCGAAATAATTGATTTTACAACTTCCGGACCCACGTTTACAAAATAATGGTTGAAAAAATCAGCAATATTCTGACTACCAGTTACATGTGCATTATTATAATAGAAGGTATCTGGGATAGCAAGTTGGCTCCCTTGAGGCCTTAACCTTTTGTTTGTTCAAATTTAATAATGTAAAACTGTTTTTTTTTTGTTTTGTTTTGTTTTGTTTTTTTTTTGCAATTCTACACAGATTAATAAATACGTTTCTAAACCAAGTATAAATTATTTTATTAGTCATGTTAGGCTTCTTTAGGTACAGTACCCTTTATATAACACATGCTTCCACTGGCTCGACTTTACCAAGCTAGGGCTCATTCAGGGTTGTTTACTCCTTTTGGTTCTACGAGACTTATTTCTAATACATACCTGTATATGCTTATCATGTACAATTCTATAAATATTATAAAAACAGTTATAAGCATCATTTGGATCACTTTTTTTGGTAGACCACAGATCAGTCTACTACAGTTAATTCTTCATTAAAAGCATTCAGGGTTTGTTCATTAACTACATATTTAGTTTTATGATGTATGTCATTGCTCTTATTTAATTCAACAAGACAACCGATGTGGAATATCGGAAGATGATCAGATATGTCAGTTATTAGAACACCTGATACCTTTAGAATATTGTCGTCAATTACAATAGTAAATATGTAATCGATGAAATTGTCAGAGTTTTCAGAAATATGTGTATGTTTAGATATCAATGGATAAAAAGTGTTTGACATAATATTTTCAATAAATTCACAGTTGGGTTTTGGCAATTATGATTTAATATGTTAATGTTATAATTACCCATTATATAGCACTTTTTATTTTCATCGTTTATCTTTATTATAATTTCTTCAATAGCAGATGTAAAATGATGTACATTTAAGCCAGGTGCTCTATAAATAATACCTAAGATTACATTTTAAGAACGCATTATAAGCCAAAATCATAGTTTTAAGATATTGAGCAAAACGCGTTTCTTGTTAGCCTTTTGTTATGGAAATGAATTATATTGATTTTTGTGTGTAAATGTACTAACTACACAACAGAAAAACATACTGAAGTACTTTTTTTATATATTTTTTTCTATAACCCAGTCAAAATGGACATAATGCGCTTTTCCAAATTAAAACAAAAGCCAATGAAGCATGAAAAATCTGATGTTAAGCATTATATCCAGTTTTGCCAGCAGAATGCATGCATTATTCTACTTAAGCACTTATGAAAAATAACATATTAAAGTGAATTTTCACCAGGATTTTAGAGGTTTAAATTCCATTATGTTTAAATAACTTCTTAAGTTTCTTAGGTGTTTTTGTTTATATTATTTAGCAACATTATCGCATTCACTATCATAAAATATTTACAAAATGTGTCTGATCTGATTTAGTAAATGTTGTATTTCACCTAAAATATGGTATGGTACATTTAAAATTTAAATTAAATACTATCATTAACCACTACAGAAAGAACAAGCAACAACACTGTTAGTAAGTTTTTACAACATAAATAATCAGTTTATTTAAATTTACTATGAAGAATATACGCCTTTCAATTTAATAAACAAAAAATAAATACTTCTAAACACACTTCTTCAGGCCCATTTATGAATTTCTGTTTCCTTAAATTATAAGAATGTGTACTCATTTAAATATAGCTTAATTTTTTAAATGTTAATTTAGCATAGGTATTATATCTAAATTCCAAGCCTTGGCTTAATTGGAAAGTCATTTTTAAGTTTGATATGTATGTATTTTATTTTGTTTGTTGAATGGTCTTAGTTATAATAATTATTAATATTACAGACTAAAATGTATATTATGGCCACAATTTGGTCATGGTCATATTGCAACTTATTCTTTAAAAGATGAAGAACAATGCATTCTTCTTTTATTAATTGTACTCTGATTAAAAACA